AACGTGATTAATATTCACCTGTATTCCTGCGTGACTGCAGATATAGAAGTCAAACTCTGAAGGGTGAGTGATCCCGTGGTCAACTGTAGTTCCTGGTGGAATGTTGCCTCCACGGCCACACTGAAACGTACCAGTTGAATTTTATTTACATACACTGATGTACTGTTATATACAAGGAATGTACAACGACGCCATTTTGTACAGCAAAGCATGATGGGAAATGTAGTCTCCAAAATCTCGAGTGCCGGGTTGTTCAATGCCTGATTAGTGGTAATCCAGGGTTAACTCCATACGTCTTCGAAGAGTCAACCCAGGATTAGCGCTCACCGGGCTTTAAACAACCCGGCCCAGTTTTTTCTTTGTAGAAACAGTACAACTACATCTATTTTTGCAAAGAAAAAACGAAAACGGCATTTATCGCTAAATCATCTAGTTCAAAAATGTTCAGCTTGGGTTACGCATTCCTTCCGGTTATAAGTGCTCAAATGAAAAATAGATAAAATAAGATGTGACATGGAAAGCTCACCATTACCCAACCTTACCCTATCTCTCTCTTCCTGGCAAAATAGTCTTGTGTGGTGACGTTTTTGCACGACCACAAAAGTAATTCCTGGCTGGTAGCCGACCTCTAAGCTAATACAGGCTTCTCTGATGGCTCTTAACTCGTGTATCAGAACCTGAAATAAGGGGAAAAGGAGATGTTAATACCCAATGGAAAATCATTGCGTGACCGCATCTTTATATGAACAAGAGATTTGTCCTGATTTGCATACGACTTTAACTTCGATTTTCTCTTTAAAATGATATTTTATCTTGAAGTTTTTTTTGCGAAATATGCTTTAGCTTATGTTGAAATTCAGCTTCAGTTTCAGCTCAGGTCTCCCGCTCATGTTATTTAGAATTAAACATTATACAGTCAACCTCGGGCCAGTAATTTAGTGTCCGCAGTAGCGAGAGTCCATACTAAGTGAAGTTACCTTCAGGCATTTATTTTTATTTTTCGCCGGGATTAAGTATTTCGTGTCCGTAATATCGAGGTGTCCGAAATAGCGGATGTCAGTAAGGCAAGAGTTGACTTACGTGGAAAAGACCTGAATTCAAACAGACTTTGCTTACTTGTTTAAACTGTCCTTCGCTGACCCCGTCCCGATAGAATATTATCCTATGCGGTTTATGCATGGTGCACTGGTAAAATTGACGAAGAAGTTCTTTGACCATAGCTGCCAACTCAGCGATAATTTCCTGTAACATTATCAAATAATAACAAATGAATGTAATTGCCCTCGGGAACAATTTAATCATACTCGGGAACGCAATGGTAATCTTGGTGATCGTTTCTTAGAAGATTACCCACTGGTAACTCATTGTTCCGATCTGTCAATCATATGTTGTTGCTCAGCCAATCAGATGCCGTAGAGCTCAGTCAAAAAAGGGCGGGAAAGCACGTGACGCGCGCGTCAACCAGAAGAACCAAAAAGAGCGGGAAAATGAAACGTCGTCTGTTCGGAACCAGACCTACCGAGTTTTCATATAGATTCCAAACCTGTTTGGGCTAACAAAGTCGACTAAGTTGTATAAAATAAGGGCGTAATGCCCTGGCATACCTGACGATGTGCCTGAACACGAACAGACGCATAGTAYCGACAGGGATGGGCATCCATACTGCCTACAACCTGAAAAACAGTTCAAAAATTACAAGACTTAATGGACTTCGCAAGATGAAACGGCACGAAACATGTCCATTTGTACTTAAGGTGTTTCGATCGTAATAAATAGCGTTTCGCGCGTATTTTTAAACTCCAACTACGTCGAAAATTCGATTAAATTGCACTCAAACTTTCACAGAAGTCACAGTGATTATCGATAATTCTTGTTGATAAATTAATTTGCCAAAAAGCGAAGCCATTTGGATAAACGATGTAAAATAAAAACACCTTCATTTTTCTTCAAAATTAATTTTCTCGAAACTCATCGCAGAGATTGTAATAAAATTTTCAGCATCATTTATTAATAACATAATTGATATACTGACGAATTTTCAATAAAATCTTAACCTAAAATTTCGATTTGTTCGATTGTACATCATTTTGCTCAAACAACTCGAATCGAAATTTGCGACGTAATTGGAGTTTAAAAATACGCGCGAAACGCTATTTATTACGATCGAAACACCTTAACGAAGTATTTTGCAAACGACTAAAACTTTGCACTTCGAAAATGATTCGTTTCAAAAGTATATATAAACCAATACTTGCACTTTGTGAATTAATACAAAAGATAATCAGACTT